ATATACAATTAATAGTATCTCAATTATTACAATTCCCTAGTTAAATACAGCTTTTTTTTCTTTTGTGTTTTAAAATCCTGAACTCTTCTCTTTTTCCCTAAATTTCCCATTGTTTGCACGTACCTTTTTTGGTGAGGAAAAAGAAAAGAATTCTGCCTACCTAATTTTCCAAACTTGCAGCAACAGCAAAGCAGTTTCACTTTCGTTTCTCAGTATAGCTAGGGGGAAAAAAATCAGCACTCTTTGGAAGGAAGCAAAACAGCGGAGACAAATCAGCTGAGAGCCGGGAGGCCAATTAGCCTATGCTGAAGCTCCGGGGGCCAATAAAATTACAAAAAAAACACCGAACCCTTATTAAATTGCTGGCTCCCCCGCCCCTCGCCCACCACTATTTATTGGCAATAAATAGTGGTGCGGAGGGGCGGGGGAGCCAGCAATTTAACAAATGGTTCGGCCGAGCCACCTAGAACCCCCAGAATCCCACACTGTGTAGGCCCCTCTGGATCTTGAGGCCCTAGGCTGAAGCCTAGTTAGCCTATAGGAAAATCCGGCCCTGCTGCAGATGAACATAAACTTTGGTGTATTTGCACACTCCTCTCTTTCGTTTTAAAGAATTCGAAATCTCGCCGCTGTGACTCTCATCACTCGACGCCATTTTAGGTCAGTTGACACAAGCTACAATACATTTTAAAAATGTGAACTGTACATAATTTTATAATATATTTTTATTTTAATCTCATCATTAATTTTTTCAGAGAATCGAGTTTCCTAGCCATGGTACTATTGTAGGAAGTTAGCACCCACCCCTTTCCTGGAAGAGTGAAATATTTTAGGAAATATGAAAAAGGCAGAATATTATATTTCCCTGGATGAGAAATATGAGAAGCATATTTTACAGACAAAGCAGCTCCCACCTTCCTGCCCCCCACCCTTTGTCAATGGGCCATTAAGGCCTGGGCCAGTCTATTCTACATAACAAAGATCTGCCTCCTTCAGGCAGAGCCATAGTAGGAATTGCCAAAAATGGGATTAGCCCTCTACACAATAGCAGCAGAAACTCACCACATGTGACCTGGGTAGCACATGTGACCATCAGCCAGCAAGGCCCCCACCCCCTGGGAGTCTGACAACCAATCAGGATACTCTTTCGGGGCCCCAAGAAATGCAGAGCCAGAGAGAGCATAAAAACCCGAGGATTTTCTGTATCTGCCCTTTTCTGTTCAGGAACTCAAGCCATGTGATCCTGTCCACCATTAAACCATCTTTCCAAGCAGTCTCCATGTTTCCAGTGTCTGTTTTCCCCACTTGGAGCAGAACCCAGAAGGATGTTTCTTCCAACAGTACTATAGCTGCAATCTGTAGTAAATCCTTGATTTTCAAGGAGCACCGTGGGAAAAAAATGAGATTAAGATTTCACATAAAACAACCAAACTAATTTATTTATTTATAATTTATTTATAATTTAATTTCTATACCACCCTTCTCTCAAAGGACTCGGGGCGGTGTACAGCCAATTAAAAGCACAATATATACAAACATCAAATTTAAAAATAATTAAAAATATTAAACAATTTCGGTCCGGAATTAAAACCCAAAAATTTAAAACACCCAATATATAATCATTTACATAGATAGCCCGGCCTGGCGGAACAGTAGAGTTTTAAGATCGCAGCGAAACACACAGGTCGGAGATCTTACGTATTTCCGGGGGCAGTTTGTTCCACAGGGCAGGAGCACCCATAGAGTAGGCCCTCCCCCTGGGTGTCATAACTTGGCCATTGGCACCCTGAGGAGCCCCTCTCTGTGGGAGCGAACTGGCCGGTGGGAGGCTACTGGTGGCAGAAGTCTGTCTCGAAGGTACCCAGGTCCTATGCCATAATAAAAAGAAGGTACCGAAACCTGCCTAGTACTGACAATAAAGATAGCAAAGTGATGGGTAGGTGATCCTGCCTTTTAGGATCAAGGTTCAACCATGAATAATAAAGGAACAAGCAGTCAAGAAATGAGCCACAGAATAGATATTTGAATGCTGGGATGTATCTATAGTGGAGATTGAATAATATGTATCATGCTGAATGTGGCTGAAGCATATGTAAAGCCATAAAAATAAAACAAATGGTTAAAAATAAAAGGAATGTAAAATTTTATTTAACCAAGGTTTAAAATAGATATCTTATTCCTGGTAACCATTAGTGGACTTTTGGTGACCAGGACTTAATTACAAGGTTTTAAGGGTTTCTTTACAGATAAAGAGATGAGATACAGGAAGAAGCTTCTCCACCAAGCCCATTAGTTCAAATGTTAGACAACTTCATACTTGTTATGAAGGGGAAGATATCATTTCTTTATATATTTCCTTCCTTGCCTGGATTTTCTACCTCCTATTTTTTTCAGTTTCTATTAGTTCTTATCTTTTTAAATGTAGAGTTCAATAAAATTGTTACAGAAGAGTTTTAAGGACAGCAATTTTTCATCCATAGTCCAATAGCAATAGCACTTAGAGAGGGCTGTAAAGCAGTATATAAATCTAAGTGATTTACAGAGCCAGCCTATTGCCCCCAACAATCTGGCTCCTCATTTTACCCACCTTGGAAGGATGGAAGGCTGAGTCAACTTTGAGCCTGGTGAGATTCGATCTGCCAAATTGCAGGCCGCTGGCAGTTAGCAGAACTGTCTTGCAGTGCTGCATTCTAACCACTGCAATAGTCATGAAGCGCTTTTGCTGTGCTGCTTCATGCTGCCCATTGCATGAAAGTTATCAACAAGTTGCCACAGCGATTTGATTTGAATGACTGAGAGTCACCCATGAAACAAGGACAATGCTTAACAGCAGGGGTGTCAAACTCATAGCCTGGGGGCCAGATTTGGCCCGTGGGGTGCTTAGATCTGGCCTGCAGGGCCACCCTGGAAACAACAAAGGACTGGCCCACTGTGCCTCTGCCAGGGAAAACAGAGCTTGGGAGGGCCACATGCAGCCCTCTTGGGCTCCATTTTCGCTGGCAGAGGGTTGCAGGAGGCTGTCGCAGCCGGAAACAGAGATCGGGAGCCTGTTTTTGCTGGTAGAGCTCTCGGTCCATCAAAGGAATATTCATGACAATAAAATCACCTTCATCTTTTAAGCACACACATCAGGGGTTCTAAAAATTTTTACTACCGGTTCTGTGGGCATGGCTTATTTTGTGGGCGTGACTTGATGGTCATGTGACAATTATTTAGGATTTAGCAGAGGTACTGGTCTACCAGGCTTTTAACTGTGTGCAGAGCTGTACCGATCTACCCATTTATTTTTGCAGGCACTGATCTACTCATGTATTTTTGCAGGCACTGATCTACTCATGTATTTTTGCAGGCACCGGTCTACCCATTTATTTTCTTTTAACACTGATCAGCTGGAGGACAGCCCTTTGAAGCCCCGCGGCAAGAGTTTAAACAGTTTTTTTCCCTCTAGCCATCAGCTGGGACTCAGGAGGCAGCAATAGATTGGGGGGTGGGACCAAATAAAAGGTAAGAATAACGCGGGAGTGGGTGGTTGGGGGGCAGAGGGGGGAGAACCGGTTCGGTGACATCATATCGTCACCGCTACCAGCTCGGCAGACCCAGGCCAAACTGGGAGGAACCCACCAGTGGCACACATCCCACACACCCAACAAAATCACTGGAGCAAATTACAAGCATAAGAAATGCAAAAAGGCTGCATCTTTCACTGATTCAGTGGAATTACTGACTTAATCTCCATAAAGCACCAGAGGGCAGGAGAAAAAATAATGGGTGCTTGGAAACTCATTAAAGAGTGATGCTAGAAGTAATGAGAAATTAAGTGAGAATTAACCAGTGAAACAACTTGCCTCCACACTGGATGTTTTAAGAAGAGATTGGACAGCCATTTGTCTGAAAAGATACAGGTCTTCCTGCCTAAGCAGGATGTTGGACTAGTAGACTTCCAAGGCCTCTTTCAACTCTGTTATTCTGACAGTAAGAACAATTGCCTCCCAGAGTTGTGGGTACTCCACTACTGGAGGTCTTCAAAAGAAGTCTAGACAATCATTTGACAGGGATGGAGTAAGATCTCCTTGCCTTGAGCTGGGGGTTGGATTAGAGAGGAGAGGGTCAATCTATTTTCCAAAGCACCTGAAGGCCAGAAAAGGAATAATGGATGGAAACTGATCAAGGAGAGATTCAACCTGGAAATAAGGAGAAATTTTCAGACAGAGAGAGCCATCAACCCATGGAGCAGAAGTTGCCTTCGGAAGTTGTGGGAGCTTCATCACTGGAGACTTTCAAGAAAAGACTGGACTGCCATTTGTCAGAAATGGTGTAGGGTCTCCTGCTTGAGCGGGGGGTTGGACTAGATGACCTACAAGGTCCCTTCCAACTCTGTCAATCTGTTAGAAGACCTTTGAGATCCCTTTCAGCCCTATGATTCAGTGGTTCTGTGATTCCAGAATCTAGAGCAGTTTCCCAACCTTGTCAATTTTAAGGTGTGGAATTCAGTTCCCAGAATTCCTCAGCCAGCATGAGGGAGTTGAAATCCACCCCTCCTTTGGCCAGCCACCTATGAGAATGTCCTTGATTCCCACAGGAAAACTTTATTGTTTTGTCTAGCAAACCCCGTCTAATTATTTGCCCCCTCCCTCTGTTGTGTGGCAACCCTGAAGCCTCCAAAGAGCCTTGGTGGCGCAGCAGACTAAAGTGCTGTTAACTAGAACCAGCTGCCTGCAATTACTGCAAGTTCGAATCTCACCAGGCTCAAGGTTGACTCAGCCTTCCATCCTTCCGAGGTAGGTAAAATGAGGACCCGGATTGTGGGGGCAATAAGCTGACTTTGCATAAAAAAGAACACCGCTTAGGGTGGGGCCGAAAGCCCTACTAAGCAGGTATATACAAAAGTATGAAGGCTATTGCTTAACGCATTGTAAGCCGCCCTGAGTCTTCGGAGAAGGGCGGCATATAAATTGAACTAATAAATAAATAAATAAATAAATAAGATGGGCTCAGCCAGGTTCACTTCAGGGTTGACATCTAGTTTATCAAGTACTTAGGAGGCGGGGGCTTGGAAGCACAAACAAACAACAGCCAATGACTTAATAGCCAGCCATCAACGCCCCAATCAACATCTAAAAAGCCACATACAACATAAATACAACACAGAGAATAGCCTAAAGCACACACTCTTCAAGAACTTCCTTGAAGATGGGTTCCAGCACGAGTCCAAAAGCTTGGAAGACTAAACCTCTGGTCCCAGTGACTGATCTAGATTGGGTCCTGCAACATTATCCTGGAACACATATATTTCCCTTCATTTGTGAGTCATAAGTCACTTTATCCAGTGCCGTTGTAACTTCAAATGGTCACTAAATGAATTGTCGTAAATCAAGGACTCTCTGTAGATTAGGAACATTACAGCTTTGTTAAACTAGGATCCAACTAAAGTTGATATGGCAAGCATCAAGTCTGGGTGTGCCAGGAGAGTCTGAATGTGCCAGGAGACACTACATACACACATGTGCTTCTCCAATGAATTGAGATAAGACAGGAGGTCTCCTCTTTTGAGGTGGTTGTGTCATCCATTGTTGCCGCAACTTTCTGGCTGGCTGCAGAGAAAATGCTTCTCCATGGAGCATATGGTACTATCAGCCCCTTTTCCATTTATATATGCACAGAAGCCTTCTCCTCGCACTGGAAACCTGCAAAAAGAACAAGTAATTACTATGTTAGTGGTGACTAAGGGAAGAAATTAGCATTGTAGGAATAATCCTTCCAGGAGGATTACCAGCTTGAGAGCACAGGAAACATCAGCCAACACCGTGCCTTCAGGATGCACTCAGTGAAAAGCTAAGTCCAAGAGAGAGAGGGAGGGAGAGAGAAGAGAAGGGAAGGGAAGGGAAGGGAAGGGAAGGGAAGGGAAGGGAGGAGAAGAGGAGAGGAGAGGAGAAGAGAAGAGAAGAGAAGAGAAAAGAAGAGAAGAGAAGAGAAGAGAAGAGAGAAGGGAAGGGAAGGGAAGGGAAGGGAAGGGAGGAGGAGAGGAGAAGAGAAGAGAAGAGAAGAGGAGTATAAAGTGTATGTTTTGAAGTACAGTGTAAAGTGTAAAAGTAAAATTTTGGTTCAAAATTTCAGTGATCAATTAGAGCAGCGGTGTCAAACTCGCGGCCTGTGAGCTGGATGCGTCATGCGCTGGCCATGCCCATCTCTGGTTTAGCAAAGGAAAAAGAAGTTGTGATACGTCACGTGATGATGATGCGAGTTTGACACCCTTGAACTAGAGGTTTAAGTACATTCCTAGCACAGTTGAAGTACTGCCCTGAATCATTGAAATTTTGAATTGAAATTTCAGATTCACACTTTTCAATTCAAATTCCAAATGGTGTAGATTTGCTAAAGTGTTAGACATATATGCCTAATTTCAGATGTATTAGATTTTTAAGCATCTGACACTCCTGATAAATAGTCTTAAAACATGACAGATAACTTCAACAGAAATGAATGGTGCCACTTGGTTCTTTTATAGATGGAAGAATATGAAGTCTGGAAGTAGAATTGTGGATAATACCCTCCCAGGCTGGATTTTAACACTCTCCCTTTCTATCCTACTGATTTCTCCCTTTTATGTGCATATGCCGGCTATTTAATTAAGACCCTTGATTTGAAGACTATTTGATCAAATTGCCAAATCAGATCCCTTCTCCCAATCCAATTGTCTATTAGCTTAATTTGATCATTTGGTTACTTTTCCAATAAACATCCTTTCCAAAGAAGTTTGAATCAACATTCTGAATTATGGATATGAAACAGACCAGGGATAGTTGATATATCACACAGTTGACCTTTAACATGTACACATTTCCCATTTCCTCATTGTTAATAGAGCGGTGTTTCTCAAACTTGGCAAATTTACAAGATATGGATTCTCAAAATTCACCAGGCAACCAGGAATTCTGGAAGTCCACTCACTTTAAAGATGTCAGGTTTGAGGAATCTTATCTTATAGAAAGTGCCTTTCAAGAAGAAGAAAAAAAAGCAAACTGCAAGTTTATGACAGATTGGGCTGTCCCGCCCCTGCTTACAAAAATAACAAAATTGGCAGGAGAACTATCTGCTCTTGGAGGTGGTGTATCATCTCAGCCATTCTGAACTTCTCAGTCCATCACAGCTGGCCAGCAGTGCATGGACCACCAGATGTTACATACTATTGCCTGAGCAATTGTTTTTTTTCCTTTTTTCTCCCCTTTCTGTGTCTTATTTTTAGGGAGAGAACCTTAGTCAAAAATGATCCCAATTCTTATTATTCCTTCAGCTACTCTGACTGAAGCCTAATGCATATAAATGTTTCAAATGGGTAAATAGCTCTGTACGTTCTGCAAACAAATAAATAAAACCATACTTACTGATTTTTAAACTTTGTGCCATTGGACCATTTCCAGACCTGGTTAACTTCTCTTGAGAGATCAAACCAGTAATGAAAGGGACCTAATATACCCACCCAAAAATCCTAGGAGAAAGGAAATAATGTATAATAAAATCCTCATTTAATACGCTAATTTTGGAAAGAAAATGTTTTTTTTTTTTACTGTCTATTAAGTGTCAAAATACATCAGTTGCCTCAATTTATTTCTTTTGTACAAAATCATAATCAACTAAGGTAAAGGTAAGGTATGTGTAAATGCCTTGTCAGCACTATTTCAGACAGAGTGGGCTTGTCCATTATTTGAGGGAGAAAGTGACATAGAAATCAGGTCTGTTGTATCCAAAGTCCACTAAAAGGAGGTCTATTAAATTAAGCTTTTTGCTTGATACACAGTACACATATCTGTTTTTAAATTTAAGATGCATTGGACAGAATTCAACAGGAATATATTAGTTTTGTTACTCATAATGGTAGCCCTCGTCAAATATTTCTTAATATTAATAACTCATCAAGATAACAAAAATATTTATGGCAGATCTTATGCGAATAATATATTTAGCAATAGCACTTAGACTTGTATACCACTTCACAGTGCTTTACAGCCCTCTCTAAGCGGTTTACAGAGTCAACATATTGCCCCCCACCCCCCCAACAATCTGGGTCCTCATTTTACCGACCTCGGAAAGATGGAAGGCTGAGTCAACCTTGAGCCTGGTGAGATTCGATCTGCCAAACTGCTGGCAGCCGGTGATCAGCAGAAGTAGCCTGCAGTACTGCTGCACTCTAACCACTGCGCCACCACAGCTCTTATTTGGTTATTTGCCATCAAGTTAATGTCAACTCTTACTGATTACATAGATTTCACCTTCTCTTGGAGGACTTGTCCCCAACCTGGTCTTTCGGGTCTTCCAATTGACCATATGCCTTATTGTTGGCCATCCTCTTTTTCTCGTTCCTTTGCCCTTTCCCACAGTTATAGACTTAAGAGAGCAGAGTCTTTTAAGATAGTCCTCGATATTCAACAGTAGCAGAGCCTGCCCGTTGTACGTCATAACGGTCATAAAACAATTTTATGACCTTTTTTTTTGCAGCGCTCATTAAGCAAAGCACAGTAGTCATTAAGCGAATCACTGAAGTCATTAAGCTAATGCCACAGTTGTTAAGCAAATCTATGATTCACTGTGGGTGTGGTTTTGCCAAAACCTGGAAGTGCCAGTTTTTTGCAAAAGCATCATAAAACATGGTCATGTCACTGTGGTACATTGCAAGATTGTGTTGCCAAGTACCTAAAGCTTGGTCACATTATTGTGGCGGGTGCACGACAATTGGAACTTTCAATCTGGGTCATAAGTCCCCTTTTTCGGGTCATTTGTAACTTCAAATGGTCATAAGTCAAGGACTACCTGTATATAAAGGGTTCAAAATGTAATCCTGATCACAAGGAAAGCTGAATTGGAAGAGGATGACTGTGGTTTAATAACTGGAGAAGAACTGCAGCAATAACTTGTACTATGCTGATGAAGGATGGAAGTCTGAGTCAACCTTCAGCCTGATGGGATTCGAACTGCCAAATTGCAGTCAGCAGTCAGTCAGCAGAAGTAGCCTGCAGTACTGCACTCTAACCACTGCACCACCATGGCTCATGCAAGCCGCTTCTTCACAGCAGAAAACCAAGTTGTTGTTTTTTTTAAATTCTCAAGCAGACATTATGTCATGCCTTCTATGTCTTAAGGACCTTATTTTCACTATTTATCTTTATTGATTAAGAGATCCTTTTTTGGTCACAGTGTGTTACTCCTTTTTGAAGAGTGCACCATTTTAGAGACATTATTAGTATTAAATAACCAGAGAGGGAATGCCAGTGATGAGCTAAAATATAAAAGTCTGGAATACGTTCTTTCTTTAAGCTATTTTTAAAAAAAATAAAAATAAGCATTTCAAATTTTATGGCATAAAATGTGGCCTTGCTTTACAAATCTGCCATTTTTGTTTGATAATGTGATAACGCTGAGGTGTTTGTTGTGGGAGAATGAAAGTTTCTAATTGTCGCTGAGTCTGATTGGCTAAGATACAACTTCAGACTTGCAAGTGATCTGCTCTTTGACCACAAGAGGAAGTCAAAGATTATAAAACTGTGTTTGACTTTATTCCATTTCATAATAAACAAGATGAACATCTGTTCACAACCACAACAAAGGTGGCAGCCACACTAGCTCTACTTCATGAGAAGCAATTTAGAGGAATGTTCAGATAAAATAATTCAAGCAATCCAAGTGACAGAAATAAAGATTGTTACTCTACTGAGGCAAGCAAATGCAGAAACCTGTCAAACCATTGAGGAGGCTCTACAAGTTGATTTTTTAAAAAATACAGAATGGACATTAAGAGTGTTCATTACATTAGTGGAACTACAAGAGCTGCAGGTAAGACCTCTAGCCATAAGAGAAAATGTTCTGGATCTCCATTTCAAATTTGAATTAAAGAGCGAAAGTTAGTGCAGTCTGGCATAATCAAAATGAACATTAAATGTTAGGCTGATCACATTTTTTTCTTACCCAATGCTAGATGGTCCCATCACAATCTAAGAATAGTACATATCATAAATATGTACTATTTGTACATATTTATGATATAAGTGGAAACTAATCAAGGAGAGAAGCAACTTAGAACTAAGGAGAAATTTCCTGACAGTTGGAAGAATTAATAAAGTGGAACAATTTGCCTCCAGAAGTTGTGAATGCTCCAACACTGGGAATTTTTAAGAAGATGTTGGATAACCATTTGTCTGAAATGGTGTAGGGTTTCCTGCCTGGGCAGGGGGTTGGACTAGAAGACTTCGAAGCAGTCGTGGGATTCAAGTAATTTAACAACTGGTTCTCTGCCCTAATAATTTCCCCCAAACAACCAGTTTGCAAACAGCTCAGAAAGTTAACAACCAGTTCTCCCGAAGTGGTGCGAACTGGCTGAATCCCACCACTGCCTCCAAGGTCCCTTCCAACTCTGTTATTCTATTCTGTTCTGTTCTGTTCTGTTCTAAATAAAAAAAAATAATTATAGTGGTAAATGAACTTCAATATTTACTTAGCTAAACAGATTAATCAGAATGGGAAAAAGGGAGTGGGAGTGACTGCCAACTTTCTGCTGGCTTCCTCACTGACTTTGCTCATGGGAAGCTGACAAGGAGTGTCGAAAATGATGATCATGTGACCATAGGGTCCCTACAAAGGACACAGCTTTGTTAATAAAACAATTTCAATTCCACAGGAGTAATGGCTGCCAGATTTTTTATGCAGTCTTTTAGGTTAGTGTATTTTAGGTACCGTGATTCAAAAATGTTTTGTTACCATTAGTTTGTAAAGCTGCCTGGAGCAGCTTAACACAGATAGAAAGAGGTACTGTTATGTAGCAGTAGGACTCTTAAGGAGTAGTGGAAAGAGCAGTAGAAGGAGGTCTAGTAGAAGTGAGAAAGCGTGGAGTAATGAGTAGTGAGTAGTAGCCTTTGAGTGCTTGTGTTTGTGTGTTGTGTTGGCTGTCTTGGGTTTTGAAGCCCACAGATTTGGGTATACATGAGAGAATAATAGATAATTGATTCAAAAATTGTTACGGTATAATACACCATTTGAGCTAACTTGACAAATAGACAAACACAATGAAAATTTTAGTAGTAAATGGATAATAAATATAATACGACTGCTTTTTGTATTTGTGAATGCCAGGACAACAATGTAGTTGTTCATGATGTCTTCTTATTCCTTACCAATTCGTTCTGACTACCAATCACAGCCAAGGATGCATTAAACGAGGAACAGGTTATTAAACTGAGAGACCAATTCGTTTCTTCTTTTGATACATAGAAACATTTTTCTCTATATCCAATCCAGAAATCTGGGCAGGCAGCACCTTGGCTTGCAGAGGTATGACAAAGTGGACATGTTTCTGATTTTTTAACTGGAAGTAAAACAAAAAACACAAATCATACAGCTCACAATTAACTACAGTTCTGACAACAAAGTTGAATAGCTAATACCATATTAAGCTATCTTACATAAATTGGAATTTGTGTACACAAATATGTTTATAATGTAATTACATTATAAGGTATTTACAATATAATTATAAGAGTCCTGGTGGTTAAAGTGCAGTGTTGCAGGCTAACTCTGCCCGCAGCCTGGAGTTCAATTGTGATGGGGCTCAAGTCCCAAAGATGCTTTTTCAAAAGGCAACTGGATTTTCTTTGTTTTGTTTTTTTCCTCTTGAAAATGTTTCACTTCTCATCCGAGAAGCATCTTCAGTTTTGGTTGAATGGTTGGGAATGGAAGGATTTGCATTTCTCGGAGTCATCTGCTTGTTAGCACTTTGAAGATCAGTCATTGGCTCTCAGAGATGTCATCAGATGTTTACCTTTGGGATTGGCTGACATCTTGGCTTCCTAGCTTCCTCTTTATATAGTTCTCATTGTATGCTTTGGGATAGTTAATGTCAACTCTGAAGCTGGCCTGACGGAGGCCATTTTGAGGCTCCAGTGTTGCCACAATAGAAAGGGATAGGGAGGGTGGACTAGAGGTAGCTGGGATTTTGTAGCCAAAACAAAATAGTTTCCTCTGTGAACCAAGGACATTCCCACAGGTGGCTAAATAAAGGAGGAGTGATGTTACCAAGCAACTGGATTACACCCTGATTGGACCATGTGACTGATAGTTTGGGGAAAGGGGAAAAACTTTTACTTTTAATTAGGTGAAAACTGGGGGAACATTTAGAGTCAGTTTCCAACAGCCTGTGCCAATATGATATATCCAATAAAACTATTTTTTGAGGATCCTACCTGCCTCAGAGTTCTGTTTGCTATGGGTGTATTACTTGGAACTCTGACAGTTAAGCTGTCTCTCTCAAAAGCCAGATGGTAGAGTAATGGCACGAACGTCCTGCTAAACAGGATCTAAAGTATTTTATGGCCTTATAACAGCCATAAGCAAACAGCAATCACATGAGAGCTATGACTCCATAGGATTCAGTGTCTCAGAGGGGGGAAATGATGGATGGGCAACTTACATTGAAGTCAGGATATTTCTTCAAATTTAATGCAGTCAGCTTACCAGAAAGCCCAGCGATTTTGTGATTTTCAGTTTTGGATATACTGAATATACTGCAATTCTATATTTATGGCTGTATATTAGCTGGGGTCACACTCTTGCAAATTTACATCTCCCTGTGTGGCTTGGGTAATGGGTTAGTATATATCATTACCCAATGAAAAGCCATTTTTAGCCAATTTGGGGGAAATTATCCAGGTTTGGGAAGTACTAAAATTAAATAACCAAATTAATTTACTTATTCGTTTGTTTCTTTGATAGATTTCTATAGCCACCCATTTTAGCAAATGACTCTGGGCAGCTCACAATTCAAAACATATATTACAATTAAAACTTAACAACATTTTAAACAATAAAAAACAGTAAAACAGTAAAAATACTGCACCCCAGAACAACTAGACACAAGAACAGTTTTTCCCCAAATGCCATCCGCTAAACAAATAATTCCCTCAACACTGTCAAACTATTTACTAAGTCTGCATTACTATTAAACTTCTCATCGTTCTCACCACCCATCTCCTTCCACTTATGACTGTATGACTCTAATTTTGTTGCTTGTATCCTTACGATTTATATTGATATTGTTTCTGGATTGCTTATTTGTAACCTATGACTATCATTAAGTGTTGTACCTTATGATTCTTGATGAACGTATCTTTTCTTTTATGTACACTGAGAGTGTATGCACCAAGACAAATTCCTTGTATGTCCAATCACACTTGGCCAATAAAAAATTCTAATTCTAAATTCTAAAACTTTAAAATGACTAATTCAAAGTACATACAAAGCAAAATATCTGGTCTGTTAACACTCTAGCCAAGAGGCTGGGCCCTTGGCGCATGTAGCGCCCCATGCTCGGGAGCATAGAAAGGCTTTTAAAGCTTTGCAGAAGGCTAACAGTGTTAGGGCCATGGAATACGGAATATGAAAATGGAGTTGAGTATATCAGCAGAAACCTAAATGAAGACTAGCTATAGTAGGAAAAGATCCAGTTTGGTATAGCAGTTAAGGCATCAAGCTAGAATATGGGAGTCTGTAGGTCCCAGTCCTGTTTTAGGCATAAAGTCAGCTGGGTGATCTTGGGCCAGTCCCTCTCCCTTGGCTCTAAAAAGTAGGGAAGGGCAAACCATTTCTCAAATCTCCCCCAAGATAACCTCAGGGATTTGTCTAGGCAGTTGCCAGAATCAAGGCACTCAAGAAGACCACACACATATATACACAAAGCTATAGAAGAAATGGAACACTTGAGTGGATGTCATAAAACTAGAAGAGAAATGGTCAAGAATGAAAAATTATCAAATCAAATGCAGATTTGTTTGCTGGATTATGCTATCTTCGTTCCCTTCTATAGGTTTGTGCTACCTTTAACATAACAATCTTTGCTTCCAGGGCATTTATAAGAGTAGCAAAAAAGTCCAGATGGCAATTACAGCAGTGCAATAATATTCCTTCCTTTTGGGATACACAGGCAACATGTACAAAAAGTCTAGATTTCAGTTACACTGCAGCAAATTTCATCTTGACTTGTTTGACACATCTCACCCCAGCTACCTCCTTCCAAATCATTATGTGGTTTACATGTATGTGGTGATCTTGATTTAAACAACAACAAAACTGGACAATGTTAAATAGAAATTTCTCATTACTTACCAGCCAATGAAATTATGACAATACTCAAAACGACGATCACAATAATAGCTACTATAATAATAATCTTTTTGTCTGAAATGTACTTATGTATGAGAGCTGAAAAACAGAGGGAAATATTAGGAGGTGAATTTCATGCTTTTATTGTGATAGCTTAGAATTTTTTGTTGGTTTTGTTGTCTTGTAAGCTGCCCAGGTTGTAGTCACACTGTAGCATACCGACAGACAGTTTTAATTCTCTTTATGGTAGGAGACTGCACATTTACCCCAAATGACTGGCTGTAATGTGTATGTACAGTTTTTGTATCCTGTATCATAGAACTACCTTCTTCCAGCTTTGTCCAAAATATCTGGAAAACGTTTGGTTAGAGAAGGTGTGCACTTGCATTTGTTGACAGTTAACGTTTGTGGTCTGGTTTGCAGCTGCTGATCCCACCCCAGATAAACCCTGAACGTCCCTCATCTCCCTCCCCCACCCTCAACAAGGAAAGACTGAAGAAGGCAGTCAAGAGCACCTCCATGGAGCCCAGAAGCACAGCCTTGGCATCTGTTGTGTGTGGCCTTCAGATTTCTTTCCCCACAGAACAGATTAAGTGGGTCTGGAATGGCTAAGATCCTCCATCTTTCTCACAGTTGTGGGAGACTCAAAGTCAATCTCAATCCCAACACTCTTAAATGCCCAACAGTCTGCCAGAAGAAAAAGCTGGCAATACTTGTGAAAGTGTCCTGTCCAAATCCTTTAATTTAATATCAGAAAATACAGTTCAAGTGCTCCCTGCAGAACAGCACAGTGAAAAATAGAGCATGCCACCCCAACCTCCTCATTTTCTCCAACAGCATTACAGCAATTAACCAGATCTTGTTCTTTGTGACAAAGAACAAATATCCATTTCTTCCTTCTCAGATGGCTGACCTGGACTTTTCTCTCCAACCCTAATGGCCAAAAGTCAGTGCCAGGATTTTGATTTGGTCCTGGAAATGGGAAATGCCCACCAAGGTGACATGGGAAACTCACCCAAGGTACAGTATTGGCCTACAGTTGGCTTTGTGGGAAATTTTTTTTTTTGAAAAGAGGAACACTCCCAAGTGTCAGCATTCCGAGAGTAACGAACTCATTGAAAACAGAACTCTGAGGCAGCTAGATTCCTCAAAGAACATGTTTATTGGATACATCATATCAGCACACCCGGTGAAAACCAACTCTAACAGTTCCTGCGATTTTCACCTAATTAAAAGAGTAAAATCCCCACTCCCAGATGTCATCGGTCATATTGTCCAATTAGGATGGATGGCAGGCTCGTCTCCTCCTTCAACAGCCACCTGTTATGATGACCTTGGTTTCCATAGGAAAACTTTTTGTTTCGACCGTTAACCGCAGTGGTGGGTTTCAAATTTTTTTACTACTGGTTCTGTGGGTGTGGCTTGGTGGGTGTAGCATGGCTTGGTGGGCATGACAGGGGAAGGATACTGCAAAATCTCCATTCCCTCCCCACTCCAGGGGAAGGTTACTGCAAAATCCCCATTTCCTCCCGATCAGCTGGGACTCGGGAGGCAGAGAATAGATGGGGGTGGGGCCAGTCAGAATTGGTATTTATCGGTTCTCCGAACTGCTCAAAATTTCCACTACCATTTCTCTAGAACTGGCCAGAATCTGCTGAAACCCACCTCTGGTTAACCGGGCTATCTACTCCCCCACTCCCTTCTCCCTCTCAGGCTTCGTGTCAACTATGAGGCAGCACAAGATGGCTTCAGCCAGGTTCGCTTCAGAGTTGACACCAAGTTCTTCTCAAAACCAGGGAAAAGAGTGGTCCTGTTTCTTACATAAGTGTGGCCCAGCTCCACCCACTTTTGCTCCATTACACACATACCCCATAGAGATTACAAAGCATGTGTCTACCTTTGTTTTTACCAGCATTTCTTGTAGGCTTTGCATCAGAGTTTCCAAGAGCAGATTCAGTTGTCTCCTTAGAAGTCAATTGCTCACTACATCCAGAATCTCTTTCTTCCCCTAAAAGAATGCAGAAGGCCCCAAGTAAGACAATACACAGAGATGTGGTCTACTTTTGTTATTAGGAAGATGCTGCCCACAATTCCCAACTAGGGCTTCTTCTTTCTCAGTCCAAAAAATCATAATAAAGAAATATTTTAAATAGCTGAAACTTCACCAAACCCTCAAATCTTGCAAGGCTGATCATTCAGAGGCAGAACTCAAGATAACTTCCAAAAATCTTAGGAGTTGCTAATCTTGCAAAATTTCAGGTGATAATATATGGGGATGGGGGTGCCCTTGAGATAGGATAATACAAAAGTCTACATCTGGGGTATTTCCATCGCTCTTGTGGTGCATATTAGAAGACCTTGTTTTTATATAAACAGATAATATAGTATATTGCTGCAGGTCCCATCCCCAAGGGAGATACACCTGGTGGGACCCAGAAGAAGGGCCTTCTCCGTGGTGGCTCCCTCTCTCTGGAACATCATCCCCCCCCCAGAGATTAGAACGGCCCCCACTCTAACACTCTTCTGGAAGGTGCTGAAGACCTGGCTCTGCCAGAGGGCCTGGGAAATCCAGAGCAGGATGGAGCCCATTGAATGGCTCGTGTGTGATGTGCTGTCGCTGGGGCAGGGAGTGATTTTATTTTATTATATTAATTTATTTGATTCTTTTTTATTAGTTTTATTGTTTGAAATGAGGTTTTATATTTTGTAAGCCGCCTTGAGTAGCCATGGGCGAATAGGCAGCAAAATAAATTCAATAAATAAATAAAAATAAAATAAATATTGAATATCTGAAACCAATATTCCACACAGAATCCTAGATGTGATAGTTAAAGAGCCTCTCTCCATCTTAGGAGAGTCCTTTCAGATGCTCTTCCTGGTTCATCAGCTTTTGAGTATTTGCTCCCAATACAGCTCTTGCCATAAGAACCAAGGCTGACTGAAGAAAACAATCCTACTGGTAACCTGTTCTCTTCCCAGTTTCTCCCTAATTCTACCTTGAGTCCAGTCATCTCTAAATATCGCAGATCAAAACTTTGGCTCATCCAAATTTGCTTTTTCAACTCATGCCTGTCTTACACCTTCTGATTCCTCTGCTTAGAATAGAGAGCAATGTTTTTAGTCATAGAATCAGTTCTATTGAGATTCTCAAGTTATCCAAGTCATGGTTGTCCCAAAGGTGCTTTTTCAGGAGGCAACTGGACTTCCTTGATTTTTCCTTGAAGATGTTTCGCTTCTCATCCAAGAAGCTTCCCCGCCATCCAGCCAAAACTGAAGAAGCTTCTTGGATGAGAAGTGAAACGTCTTCAAAGAAAAAAACAAGGAAGTCCAGTTGCCTCCTGAAAAAGCCCTTTTGGGACCTAGAATCAAGGAAGACTTTTCCTTTGACTTCATCACTACCCTAGTGCTTTCCTCCTGCTTTCTTTAGTTCTCAGCTAGGGAAAAGAATGATCTGAATGCCTCACCTTTCATTTCTCCTGGCATCTTCCAAGCTTTCTGGGTTACCAAAATAAATAAATACATACATAATCAGGATTCAGACTGCATGGAAAGAAAATAAATTAATGTTACTTATTTCTGCATGCAATATCGTTGACATATTTCTGTAGAGAAGATGTTCCCTTAAATTACTCTTCTTCAAAGTGCTGCCCTCCACTTGAATCTTATTGACTGGAATGGCCAGAGGTGTTGTCCGCCAGCAGCCTGCGGAGCTGGCAGCGGAGTTGGACAGTGAGTAGGTTGAGGAGGAACATGGGCCAGTCCTGGAGTCTGGGGAAGGCCCGGACGAGGGCTCTGCGTCGGAGGCAGTGATAGGGCCAGGGCCATCTGGGAGTGATGCGTGGACTCCGGAGTCTCCAGAGTCAGACAGCAGAGAGGCAGAGGAACCAGAGGAGCCTGTTCCTAGTGTACGCATGCGCAGAAGGCAAGAGCAGCTAAAGCAAAAGGGATGACTCGGGAGTAAGGCCAGGAGATGATTGGCCCCTCTCATAAGGCTTAAAAGAGAAACAAAGGATTGGGCCTTTTTGCAGGAAAGCAATGTTGCTAACTCTGTTTCCAGTTGGTGTCTCTTGTTTGTTTCTAAACTTCATGGGGCTTTGCCAAGTAAGGTCTTTGGCAGGGTGTCAAAGAAGATAAAGGTTGGAGATTATCCCGAAGGACTTCTTCCGAAGGATTTGTTTTGCAACTAATTGGGACTCAGCTGGGAATGAATGTAATTCTCAGCTGTTACAATAAAATAGGTTTATTTGAGACTAGTTGTGTCTTGTAATGACTCAGTAAGCCTAGGTCACAACAAGAGGTTGTGAGATCTGTTATCCAATATATCTCTTAAGTACCAGATTGAGGAAGGCAGTTTTAGACAATAAAAAGTCATATCTGGTTGTATGAAATGTATCTATCCATCCCAGCATTTGTTTAGTCCAGCTGCAAACATCTAAGGTCTTTCCCACATCAATTATAGGTAGTCCTCAACTTACAACAGTTCATTAGTAACCGTTCAAAGTTACAATAGTACTGGGAAAAGTGACCTATGACCATTTTTCACACCAATGACCATTGCAGCATCCCCATGGTTACATGATCAAAATTCAGACACTTAGCAACTGACTCATATTTATGACAGTTGCAATGTCCCAGGGTCATGTGATAGCAATAGCACCTAGACTTATATACCGCTTTACAGTGCTTTACAGCCCTCTCTAAGCGGTTTACAGAGTCAGCATATAGATTCCAACGTTTTAATCCTCATTTTAATGACTTCGGAAAGATGGAAGGCTGAGTCAACCTTGAGCCTGGTAAGGTTCAAACTGCCACATTGCAGGCAGCTGGCAGGCAGCAGAAGTAGCCTGCAGTACTGCACTCTAACCACTGCTCCACCGTGGCTCATATGTTCCTCTTTCATGACCTTCTGGCAAGCAAAGTTAATGGGGAAGCCGGATTCACTTAACAACTGTGTCAAGAAAGGTCATAAAATGGGGCAAAACTCACTTAACAAATGTCTCACTTAGCAACAGAAATTTTGGGCTCAATTATGGTTGTAAGTCAAGGACTACCTGTATCTCACATGGTTTAACTAGATTTGCAATGCTCTGAACCTGGAATATTGTCCATGTAAAAATTAGGAACGGATAGACTCAATGTATTTTAAATGAGGCAGACCAGTGGTGGGTTGCTACCAGTTCACACCAGATCGGGCAAACCGGTAGCAGTGGGAGGCTCCGCCCACCCACCCGGATGCTTCTGCACATGTGCAGAAGTGCAGTGCGCATGAGGGAACTGGTAGCGACGAGATTTGGAACCCGCCCCTGAGGCAGACATATACAAATTAATTACCTTGACAGTTATATAATTTATCTGGAACTCTTTGTGAAATTGAGATAAAAAATGGAGCTCAAAATCAAGAGTATTTATATATCAAATGCATATACAACCTAATCTTAAGAGCTATATATTTATCACATCGTTTCTTTTTTAGGAAGTATGAAAAACAATGCTCAATGGAATGATGAAGGGAAAAGAGGCTATCGATCAGGAAAATGCATATAAGAGAATGAAGCAAGAAATCAAGGTGAGAGACAGATATTGCATGTGTAATAAAAATAAATGACAGCTGTGCAAACACATGGTGTAGGAAAGCAAAGAATAGGTAAGACTACAAAAAGAGGAACAACAAAGATTGTGATGGAAATAAATTGTTTCAGAAATGGATAAGAAGGGCTAAAGAAAGAAAACCACCAAAATATATATATATATATATGTTGTCAGTTGTGAAGTCGTGTCCAACCCATCACAACTCCATGGAGAACGTTCCTCAGGCCTTCCTGTCCTCTACCATCCTCTGGAGTCCATTTAAGCTCATGCCTACTGCTTCAGTGACTTCATCCAGCCACCTCATTCTCTGCCGTCCCCTTCATCTTTTGCCCTCAATTGTTCCCAGCATTAGGCTCTTCTCCAGTGGGTCCTTCCTTCTCATTAGGTGGCCAAAGTATTTGAGAAAATTCTATATGTCACCACAACTTAATCCTTTATATTTAGTTATAATTTCTCTTCTATAATATGTTTATTGTAATGACAGACCCAAAGGCATTTTTGGACACAATGTGTATTGATCTTAACAGTGTGATTTTTCCCAGCAATTAGGCAGAAATAAGCAGCAAGAGATAGTAAGTCCCTGATTTTCAAAGAGCACAATGAAAAAAATGAGATTGATATTTCATGTAAAAAAGACTAAACTAACGACAACAGGTATCCTAGCCAGCTTAGTACTAACAATGAAGATATCAAAGTGATGGATAGTTTCTGTCTTTTAGGATCAAGATCCAACCATTAACAATAAAAGGACAAGCAGTCAAGAAATGAGCCACAGACCAGAACTTGGTAAAGCAACTACGAAGACCTCAGAATAAATATTTGGATACTGGGATGTATCTATAGTGTGGAGATTGAATAATATGTATCATGCTGAAGCATATGTAAGTTCAAGGATATTATTTGAAGAGAAGAATCATCAGGATTGTTAAACTTTTGTATTAAATCTCTGAGTGAGCCAGTTTAGCATAGTGGATAGAAATGGGGAGATTGTGAGATCTGGTCCCATTTTAGCCATGAAGCTGGCTGGGTGACTTTGGATCCTCTCCCTCAGCCCGGAGCAGGAGGTGGGGGATTGGGGCGGGGGGCAGAAGTGGAGGCAGAGGTGGACGGAGAAGGGGAAGGGGAAGAGGAAGAAGAAGAAGAAGAAGAAGAAGAAGAAGAAGAAGAAGAAGAAGAAGAAGAAGAAGAAGAAGAAGAAGAAGAAGAAGAAGAAGAAGAAGAAGAAGAAGAAGAAGAAGAAGGGGGAGGGGGAGGGGAAGAAGGAAGAGGAGGAGGGGGAAGTGGAAGGAGAAGGAGAAGGAGAAAGAGAAGGGGAGGAGAAGGAGAAGGGGAAGAAGAAGGAGGAGGAGGAGGAGGAGGAGGAGAAAGAGAAGGGGAAGGGGAAGAAGAAGAAGAAGAAGAAGAAGAAGGAGGAGGAGGAGGAGGAGGAGGAGGAGGAGGAGGAGGAGGAGGAGGAGGAGGAGGAGGAGGGGGGAAGAAGAAGGAGGAGGGGGGAAGGGGAAGGAGAAGGAGAAAGAGAAGGGGAGGAGAAGGAGAAGAAGGAGGAGGAGGAGGAGGAGGAGGAGGGGAAGAAGAAGGAGGAGGAGGAGGAGGAGGAGGAGGGGAAGAAGAAGGAGGAGGAGGGGGAAGGGGAAGTGGAAGGAGAAGGAGAAGGAGAAAGAGAAGGAGGAGAAGAAGAAGAAGAAGAAGAAGAAGAAGAAGAAGAAGAAGAAGAAGAAGAAGAAGAAGAAGAAGAAGAAGAAGAAGAAGAAGAAGAAGAAGAAGAAGAAGAAGAAGAAGAAGAAGAAGAAGAAGAAGAAGAAGAAGAAGAAGAAGAAGAAGAAAAAATAATAGTAATAACAGACATTCTCCAGAAATCAGTATGGACTTGAAAGCATGCATACATACAGATACTATATTAGGAAGAAGAAAGCCCCCATCACCTTGACCAGCTGGTATTCCAACACTGACTTTGGAATTTCCCCCCCCTAACATTTAATCAGAATATGCCTACCGGTACCTATAACCACCATTTTGTGCTCTGTCCTCTATTTGTAGATTTTGCATTTCTTCCAAAGTCAGGTGCTGATGCTTGGTGATAATCAGGAGTCAGGACCATATGTTAGGTTGTAGTCCAGAGGATGTATTCCTCAAGCCTATACAAAAGAAACTAGCCAGCTAACGTTTAATATAAAATTGGCGCCAGATAAGCTTCAACAGAATTCAAAAGGTGTTGGACTTAGACCTTAGAATGAGCGTTTCCAGCTCTTTCATCTCTTGTCCTACACACACAAAGCCCTATTGTATCTGCCTTCCACCAGCTGCTCCGGAGAAATGGTGAATTCCCCACTTCCTTTTTTCAGACTTTTTTTTTATTGAAAAAGTTTTTGTTTTATTTTATAATCAAACAAATATACAATATAAGCAATCATTCAATCTATCATCAACCCCCCCTCCCCACCCCCACCCCCGACTTCCCAGAACAAAAACAGGGCATGGACTTCAACAAACATTCGCTAACATATGCTAACTTACTGCAAGATTTAAAACTCCCTGGACCCCTTAACTCCCCTTCTACAAAATCATCAACCTCCCCTTTCATTAACTCTAAAGATTTTAAAAACATTAACAAACATTGATCATTCAAACCCTGGAAACTCTCTTAGTATATCTGTAAAGTATACTTAAACATTTTACTCTCCCTCCACTTTTCTCAAAATTCAGATATTTTAGAAAATCTTATAACAAAAAGTAAACCTTAATTAGTCAATAATTGAGTTTCTGCATTTTCCCCTCAATCTTTCTTCCTCCCTCTATCATTTAAATTTTAACCCTAACCCTTTTTTCAGACTTTTCACGGAAAGTTTGCCAAAATATTCCCAAATGCTCCTCTCTTTCCGGGGGGGATGGTTTGGAGACTTAACTTTTACTTTGGAGGACCTCAACAATGCTAGATCATTTCTTCCAATCTTCCTTTGTATATTGTTTCTTTTATTCTTCAAAGACACTGTTTTTATGCACTGATTCCTCTGTCAGCAATACTGAACAAGCCAGGCTATAAGTATCAGGACATTAAAGAAATTTATTAGGCTATCCCACCTCCTTTACATTGCAGCCATCAATAATCCACAAACTTTTCCACAATAGCAGTGAGAGCTCTATTGCCATGCATTTCATTTAAATGAAGAAATGTATAGCCTGTTTTCCTGACTTTCGTTTCCATTTTATTTCTGTCTGGTATTCACTATCCCCCACCTCCCTTCATATTTGTTCACTGCAAATCTAGCAAGAGTTACCTGCAGGTCTTAAAACTCATTAGCACGAAGATCAAAGAGGACCATTCCTGAAAAGGTTGACGTCTTCCAGGGGTGTCTGAAATCTGTAGTGAGAGAAAGACTGAGCCAGGGCAGAATAGGATGGCAAACAACAGCCAGGTGAGCGGGGATGGTTGGGTGCGGCCGGGTAGAAGCAGGTGGGTTGGTGAAAAGTAGTGGGAGTGGCTAGCTTACTGCCACTGATTTAGTGCAGCCAGTTGGTAAGGATGGGTGGACGTGACTGGATAAGTACCAATGGTTTGGTACAGATGGGTCAGAACAAGTACACATACTGGCTAACTGGACATGGACACAACTCAGTGCCCACCAGCTCACCTCCACAAGCTGCCGATAGCCAGGCACGCGCACATGTGCACACATAGACACACACAGCACACTAAAAACCTGCCAACCATGCCCAGGTTTGGGCAGAAGGACCTCTCTTTTATTATTATTTATTTATTATTTTATTAATTATATTTATATACCGCCCTTCTCCCAAAGGACTCAGGGCAGTGAACAGCCAAGATCAGATACATAAATATAAAAGTTAAAAACAATTTAAAACCAAATTAAATACTTTGGCTCACAATTAAAAACATTCCATTAAAATCCAATTTAAAACCGTTAAAATTAGGCTAGCCCGGCTTGCTGGAATAACAGTCTTTAGGGCACGGCAGAAGGTGCGCAAGTCCGGGATCCTCCGTACCTCCGGGGGCAGCTCATTCCAGAGGGCAGGAGCCCCCGCTGAGAAGGCTCTCCCCCGGGGGGTCGCCAGTTGATATTGTCTGGCCGACGGCACCCCAAGGAGGCCCGCCCTGTGGGAGCATACTGGCCGGTGGGAGGCTGTCGGGTGCTCATGCACATACACACACACACCAGGGGTGGGTTCTAAATTTTTTTACTATCGGTTCTGTGGGCGTGGCTTATTTTGTGGGTGTGGCTTGATGGTCATGTGACAATTCTTTAGGATTTAGCAGAGGTACTAGTCTACCAGGCTTTTAACTGCTTGCAGAGCTGTACCGATCTACCCATTTATTTGTTGCAGGCACTGATCTACTAACGTATTTTTGCAGGCACTGATCTACTCATGTATTTTTGCAGGCACTGGTCTACCCATTTATTTTTGCAGGCACCGGTCTACTCATTTGTTTTCTTTTAACACTGATCAGCTGTAGGGCAGCCCTTTGAAGCCCCGCGGCAAGAGTTTAAACAGTTTTTTTCCCTTTAGCCATCAGCTGGGACTCAGGAGGCAACAATAGATTGGGGGTGGGGCCAAATAAAAGGTAAGAATAATGCGGGGGGGCACGGGGGGGTGCGGGGGGGGCAGAACCGGTTCGGTGATGTCATATCGTCACTGCTACTGGCTTGGCAGAACTGGGCGGAACCGGGAGGAACCCACCACTGGTCCCATGTTGTTAGCTGGTGTGACTTGTTTCACATTGACCCAGCCATGCTCACACAGTTGTACCCAGCTGGCCATGCATACTTGGCCATGCCACCTGGCTGCAGTGAGTCAATGCTGAGCTGGCTGAACCCACTCCTTCATGCCCACCCATCCATGTCTACCCGACCTGGCCACTGTGAGTCATCATAGACCCATGCCAGGGGGATTTGCCACTGAATGCTCTTTTTTTTTTTTACCTTTCTCCATAGTTACTCCTTGAGTCTTCTGTTCAGGGCAATTTCAAGTTGGATGCATATGAAAGCCTAGCTTTGCAGGGCATTCTAGGAGAATGAAAATGGCACTTAATTCACACTGATATGGTGTTAATCATTGACATAAATGATTAACTGCCATTTCCCGCTGTTACATATTACATATTGGTTCTGTTAATAGCGGCCTCTAGTGGCCGATTGGTTGCCGTATTAATTACTGATTGGTTGAAACAATGACAGCTCAGGGTATAAAAGGAGCTGTCAAGCGCGGGAGTTGTTGCTATGCATGTTACAAGTGATAAACACAGGGTTCTTGTTGTGGACGCCTCGCCTCAGTTCTGTCGGTGATCTCAGAATATATCACCCGCCTTGTCTTGGAGACAGGCGATTGAGAGATAAAAGGCACTAGCAGTTGGTTTTATTGCCATATGTTGCATGCAAGGTGTCCATATATGAAAAAAGTTATTAATATTGGAAACTAGTGTTTCCAGGAAAGAAAAAGTGCAGATGACACAACAGTGATCAGTCTCATTTGAGACAATGATGAATCCACATACAGATGGGAGTTTGAACAACTAGCCTCGTGGTGAGACTGGAAGAATCTGGAACTGAACACACTCAAAACCGTAGAAATGGTGGTAAACTTTAGGAGAAACCCTTCCATACTTCTATCTCTTACAATACTAGACAACACAGTATCAACAGTAGAGACCTTCACATTTCTAGGTTCTACCATACCGCAAGATCTAAAATGGACAGCTAACATCAAAAACGTCATCAAAAAAGCACAACAAAGAATGTTCTTTCTGCGCCAACTCAGAAAGCTCAAACTGCCCAAGGAGCTGCTGATTCAGTTCTACAGAGGAATTATTGAGTCAGTCATCTGCACCTCCATAACTGTCTGGTTTGGCTCTGCAACCCAACAAGACAGACACAGACTTCAGAGGATAACTATTGAGGACCTGTATACTGCATGAGTCAAAAAGAGGGCTGTGAAAATATTTATAGACCCCTCACATCCTGGACATAAACTATTTCAACTCCTACCCTCAAAACGACACTATAGAACACTGCACACCAGAACAACTAGACACAAGAACAGGTTTTTCTGGAACGCCATCACTCTGCTAAACAAACAATTCCCTCAACACTGTCAAACTATTTACTAAGTCTGCACTACTATTAATCTTCTCATCGTTCCTATCACCCATCTCCTCCCACTAATGACTGTATGACTGTAACTTTGTTGCTTGTATCCTTACGATTTATATTGACTGTTTCCTAATATGATTTGATTGCTTATCTGTTCCCCATTAAGTGTTGTACCTTATGATTCTTGACGAATGCATCTTTTCTTTTATGTACACTGAGAGTGTATGCACCAAGTCAAATTCCTTTTGTGTCCAATCACACTTGGCCAATAAAATTCTATTCTATTCTATTCTATTCTATTCTATTCTATTCTATTCTATTCTATTCTTTCTTCAACAATGTTGTAACTTCAAATAGTTGTTAAACAAATGGTTGTAAGTCAAGGACTTGACTTTTTTATAATGGAGGAGGACAATAATTAAGTGGAAGACAATAACTAAGAATCCTAGTTTTCAAGGCTAGCCAATGGGGAGGACTGATGGGGAATTACAGTCCAGTGTTTCTAACCTGATTTTATGGGCCTGTCCACAAACAAGCTTTTTCTGCCTCAGTAAATAACAGGGGAAGAATAAGAAAAATGGAAATTATAAATCTGAAAATGGAGATGTTGTGGGAGGCATAAAAATAGAGGCAGTAAAAACAACTACAACATCATAAAATAAAAAGATTACCAATATGTACAAGTAAATGATGAAAGATTAAAATTATATATGTAAACAATATGCCTTGGTGGTGCAGCGGACTAAGTGCTGTTATGTAGCACTTAGCTGCCAGCTGCCTGCAATTAGTGCGAATTCAAATCTCACCAGGCTCAAGGTTGACTCAGCCTTCCATCTTTCTGAGGTAGGTAAATTGAGGACCCGGATTGTGGGGGCAATAAGCTGACTTTGTAGAAACACCGCTTATGGGGGGGCCAAAAGCCCTAATAAGCATGTATATAGAAAAGAATGAAGGCTATTGCTAGAAGTGTATTGTAAGCCGCCCTGAGTCTTCGGAGGAGGGTGGCATATAAATTGAACTAATAAATAATAATAAATAAATATATTATTATGATTGATTATTATTATGTTTAAACAAAGAATATATTACTATCATGATTATCATTGATTATCACTAGCAACATTATTATTAATATCAGTGTGTTTAACCAAACTGACTCAGACAATACACTGTTCTAATAAGCACTTATGTTGGTTAAAGAAAAAAATGTATAAACAAAAAAACAACAACTACTACAACATCTCTAAAGATTTCTTTTTCATTTGACATGCTTGTTTTTAATTCTGCATGCAATTCCTCAAATGAATACAGAGAGTTTCTGACAAATCCAGTGAAGCTCTGCACTGCAGATATCAGAGGCAATTCCTTTCTTTCCTATAATACCGCAGTCAGCCATTAAGGGTTGAGATCTATGAAGGGAAAGAAAAAGTACTTTCAGTTTGGGAAACGGTAAACTAATGCCACCTGTTTATCAACAGAAACACCTGCCTTCTACAACCCTCTCCCCCCTCTTTGTCTCTCTCACATACACACACACATACACACAGAGAGAGAAACCTATGAGGAGGAGGGTGTGAGGTCTGGTGGGGTGGGAAGCAGGAGCAAGGCCTGCATAGACCCCAAGGGACAGGAAGTGGAGTATGGGGTGTCTCAGATGGCGGAGCAGGCTTTGGGTGCTCAGAGCAGTCCTTCCACTATGTCTCTCAGGGCCTCCCCATGACCCTCGAGGTACCCCATGCTCCACTTAATGACCCATGCATTTGTTTAATGACAGTGTAGGGAAGAGCAGGAATGTGGAGTTGTAAGTAATGTGATCATGTTGATGTTTCACTCAATGGCCATCATGACTTCCAACCATAATGGACAGCCTCCATTATGGTTGTTAGTTGACAACTACCTGTACTGGTACTTTCCCATAGTTTCTTTTTTGTTCCTGGAAATTTTTGTCATCTTTGATGTCTTTTATTTTTTTATTCCAGTCTATTCTTTCATTTTAAAAAAGGGTATTTTCTAAAAAAGGGTTTGTATTTGTGTGCCTCCTCTCCGAGTAATTTTTTTTTATTATTATTATTAATAATAATATTTCTATGCCGCCTACTCTCCGAGGACTCTGGGTGGCTTACAACAATCGACAGTATACTAAATAGCACATTACCCCCAACAATCTGGGTCCTCATTTTACCCACCTCGGAAGGATGGAAGGCTGAGTCAACCTTGAGCCGGTGAGATTTGATCTGCTGATCTAGCACTCAGCTGAAGTAGCTGCAATACAGCACTCTAACCACTGCGCCACCTCAGCTCTTGTCAGCAGTTGTGTGGCCCCTCCCCAAGTGATTAGGAGTTAGGCAGCATGTGATGTGAATGAAAAAAGAAAGAATTTCTAACAGTAGCTGAAAGCCAAAAATAATGAAATAAAGCCACAGAACCTGTCTTAAACATGGGTTTTTCAATGATTGAAGTAGTTTTTTCACTGATGAAATGAAAGCTGACATTATAATTTCTTTAAAATGCTTCTGGACTCCATAGAAATAGACTAGAGACATTTAATATCTATACTGTCCATACATATATAACTCTCTCTCTTTTACTTTGTTCTGCAAAGAATACGACATCCAAAAGATTCCTTCCATGGGTATTTGAATACTCACAGCGTTTGGTTTAATGGTGAGCCATTGTCCCACATCCACTTCTCCTCTGGCAATTTGGCTGTGAGCCCAATCCATGTACTCTTATCCTTGATTATGTCCTGGACAAATTTCTATAAAATATCATTTGATTTTTATTACAAGGATGACTGTTGGAATCCCTAATCATGTCCTATTACTGAAGTAGTGTTAAGTTCCTCCAAATGAATTGTGCCTCTGATGCAGTGGGATACTTTTCACGGGTGGATTTTGCCCAATTTGTTTATCCTTCAAGTAGAAAAGGATGGAATAGATGACAATTAAGCATCAGAGATCAATAGAAACGATCATGAGAGAAAGTCCCTAGTATGTATTCATTTGGCTGATGCCACTTTCTCTGAAGTATCACCTGAAGCCTGCTGGAAAACCCTAGCCCGGCTACTGCAATCTTGCTAATTTAAAATTAAAAATACAAAAAGTAAGAAAGTAATGTATTCTTCTCCTGCAACAAATTCTTTTACCTGCTCTCTTGTATTAGAAATCACTAACAGCTGAGATCCTTTTGCTGCACAGTCCCTGCCGCTTTGTTTCCAGGACAAGATTGAAGTAGAAAACCAGTAGCATTTATCCTCGTACAGAAGCCATGTCCTAGGACACACATTGCAGGATGCATTCTCTAAGAAAGGTAAATAAATCTTTTTAAAATTCACATTATTGAGTCTGCCTTTGTACCCCAATAACTGTCTGGCTTGTCACAGCAACCAAACAGGGCAGGTACAGACTTCAGCAGATAGTTAGGACTGCAGAAAGAAATAACTGCAACCTGCCTGCCTTCCTGTCAAGGCGATTTGCTCTGCACTTTAGCTAGCAGCCAGACAACAGAGAGGGAGGAGGAATGATTGGACGTTATGGGTGGCTGGGAAGGAGTTGAGGAATTCATGTGCACCGTCTTACACCTCAAGGTCGAACGATGAGAGCCGAACAGACCAGTGGTGGGTTTCAAATTTTTTTACTACTGGTTCTGAGGGTGTGGCTTGGTGGGCGTGGCAGGGGAAGGATACTATAAAACCTCCATTCCCTCCCCAATCTAGTAGAAGGTTACTGCAAAATCCCCATTTCCTCCCGATCAGCTGGGCAGAGGCAGAGAATAGACGGGGGTGGGGCCAGTCAGAATTTTTACTACCGGTTCTCCAAACTATTCAAAAGTTCCGCTACCGGTTCTCCAGAACTGGTCAGAACCTGCTGAAACCCACCTCTGATCTATGACCTATCACCTGGTTGTTTATATGTACACTGAGAGCTTATGCCCCAGAGACAAATTCCTTGTGTGTCCAATCACACTTGGCCAATAAAGAATACAGAAGAGTAAAGAAAGGATTTGTAATCAAGTGTACTGGTGTTTTTCAAGCCCTTTACAATAATGCTATTTTGAAAGGTGAGAGAGGATCCCATTTAAAAACATGATCATTTTTATTGGTTAGGGTCATTTATTCATTCAATTTTAGTATCACTTTGAATAGGTTTGCATTTTAAATGAGAAATCATTGGGCCTATTTACAACTGAGAGGTGGTTAAAGGGGTCTGAAGTCCATGGCTTAGTGTGCCTGTAGGCATGGGGATCCCTAACCACTGGGCCTGCTCTGTGGGGCTAGAAAGCAATTTAAGCCCTACCCTCCATTTCATCTTCAGAATCCTGGCCTTTGAACTGCATCAAAAGAACCATGAGATTTCTCTCCCTGTTTCTCTTTCTGTGTTTGGTGACTCCCTCAAGGCTTAGCAGTTTATCACTGCCTAATTGTCAGTTAATTGTCAGTTAAGAAGGGATGCAGTAGCTCAGTGGCTAAGACACTGAGTTTGTCGATCAAAGGGTCGGCAGTTCAGTGGTTTGAATCCCTAGTGCCGCGTAACGGGATGAGCTCCCATTACTTGTCCCAGCTTCTGCCAACCTAGCAGTTCGAAAGCACGTAAAAAAAAATGCAAGTAGAAAAATAGGGACCACCTTCGATGGGAAGGTAACAGCGTTCCGTGCACCTTATGGCATTTAGTCATGCCAGCCACATGACCACGGAGATGTCTTCGGATACCGCTGGCTCTTTGGCTTTGAAACGGAGATGAGCACTGTCCCCTAGAGTCAGGAATGACTAGCACATATATGCAAGGGGAACCTTTACCTTTTTAATTGTCAGTAGATCCTACTCTACTTGAAGTAGATAGTTCTGAGAAAGAGGCAGGACAAGCACAAAGATCTATTAAAAGTTCAGGGGAAAAGTAGAAAATATGGTCATGATGAAAGAAAATGACAGACATATTGCGGGATAATAATTTCTGATAAATTATAACATGGGTCACAGGAAGGTTTGAGCTCAAAATAGATATTACCTGTAAATGCATTTGTAGTCTCACACAAATGCTGCCTTAGACAAGACCTGAATGCTTGTAATTGACTATTTGTTTTACTTTCAAGGTGATTGCGCTGATGTGTATTTGAAATTCTAGTCATTTCCTCTGGGTTTTGTGGGCTTCTGTTTAGTGGTGTTGAGGAACTGCATCCCAGGCCTATAAAAGAATTAACCAAAATTACAGTACAATTAAATAATTAGAACTGTACAGTATCTCTGATGCTGTACCAATAAGTTCTGCACCAATATGAGAATTGATTTTTCATCACTTTCCTAACTGAGGACGATCACTAAACAAAGCAGTCTCTAAACAGGGATTACCTGATTAGTAACGTGCCCCATTCTTCAGGATTGCAACAGACCAACTTCCTTTCTCATACAAACCTCACAATCCTGTTCATTCCTTTTCAGGTATAAAATGAACTCGGGTTTATTTTCAGCACATAGATTTTGATTCTTGTTTTTCCCTTTTCTCTTTTAAACAGAATAATGGAATAACAGAGTTGGAAGAGACCTTGGAGGTCTTCTAGTCCAACCTCCTGCTCGCTCGGGAACAGTGGTGGGTTGCTACCGGTTCACCCTGGTTCGGGCAAACCGGTAGCAGCGGCGGTGGGAGCCTGCGCCCACCTCCCCAGACGTCATCAAATACGCTGTGCTCTGTGAGCTAAGCAAGCACACGTGCACGAGCGAACTGGTAGCAAAGGTAAGTGAAACCCACCCTGCTCAGGAGACCCTATTCCATTTGTGACTTGGGGCACCCCACTGCTTACTTCCCTGTACGTAGATTCAGTTCCATTAAAGACTACATATTGCATGAGATTTGTCAGCTACTTACTAATCCATCTAGTGGTGATGCTGTCTAAACCACATTTTTTTAATCTTATCAAGTAGTGGGTTGTGGTCTACTTTATCAAATGCCTTACCCATGACCTGGCCTGGGTAATGAAACTTCTGCAACAAAACAACCAAACTCAGAGAGCATTTCCTCAATGAGGAACGATCCCTCATTTCCTCAATGAGCAACGATCCCTCATTTCAACTCTGAGCTACAAATATTCTTTTTTAACAAAGCTGCTTTGGCTACACTTCTATGAGAAGTGATGATTTTAATCTTTGATTAAAAGGCTCAGTACATTTGATTCTTATTTATGGAATCTTATCATGCTCTCTGCTCCAGTGGTGGGTTCCAACCAGTGTTACCACCGATTCTCTTTGCGCACGCGCTTTGCACACAATCACCGCACCTATCAGCTTGGCTAAAAAAGGAGAAATAAAGGTAGGAATAATGCGGGGGCAGGTGGGAGGCCCCAGCTCCCAATCAAAGAGAACCGGTTCGGTGATGTCACATCGTCACCACTACCAGCTTGGCTGAACCGGGCCGAACCGGGAGCAACCCACCACTGCTCTGCTCCTAAAATACTCACCATGAACTCCTATCAGTATCATGGCCACCACCAAGAGAACATTCCCAGCACAGGAAAGCCACAGCAAAATCCAATGCCAATGAGGGCATAATCGGTGGTCTGCAAAATTCAAGCAAAAACAGTTCCCAGCATTTGACACATGATATTCCAAGCCTTTATCAAGTAAATTTTCACCTCCTTATATTAAATTCAAGGGATCTGAAGTACATCCATTCTTACTGGAGAGGCAGAAACTTTGGGAGATAAGTGGCTCCCAAATAACATGGTCTTATTAACACACATAATACATAACTGTACAACACACATGAAATAATTATAATAAAAGTAGCAGAGAACTGACAGAGATTAAAGAAAAAAGAACAAAAAGGGGCTCAGAAGAACATAGAGAGGAAGATCCCTATTGTATGGCCTTTTGAGCAAAGATCCTGCAAGAGATAGATGTGAGTGGATGAACAAACAGACATTCAGAACAATGTACAGCTCCAGGCATGTAAATCTTTAGCGGGAATAGCTGGCAGCTCTTGGAATTTTATCTGTAAAACCACAAGAGAAAAAAATATGCATATCTCTTAGCACAAAGCAGATGAACACAGAATAATTCTTTTCAAATAGCACTTGATACCTAGCTCCATTGGATTCTTACAAGATTTTTAAAGATACACATTGCCAATGAACCTTCACAAAAAGGACAAATATAAAAAGTGGAAAGAGAGGGACACATAACTAAGGCAGAATATCAGCAAATAGCCCAAGCCTGCAAAGATGAAGTGAGGAAAGCTGAGGCTCATAATGAACTAAGGCTTGCGACAAAAGTAAAAAATAACCAAAAAAAGCTTCTTTCAACATGTTAAAAACAAGAAAAATGTCAAGGAAACAATTGGGCCATTGGTGTTAGAAAGTGGCAAGAAGGTGACAAGCAACAGGAAGAAAGCAGAACTACTTAACTTGTTTTTTGCGTCTGTCTTTACACAATGGGAAAAAACAGTCCAGCCTATCAAAAACACCACCGTAAAAAACAGATTAGGAACACAAATTAAAATAGGGAACAAAATGATAAGTGAACACCTGTCTACCCTAGACGAGTTCAAATCACCAGGACCAGATGGATTATACCCCAAGGTTCTGAAGGAACTGGCAGACGAGATCTCAGAACCACTGAACTATATCTTTCAAAGATCCTGGAGCACAGGGGAACTGCCAGAGGATTGGAAAAGAGCTGATGTAGTTCCCATCTTCAAAAAAGGGGAAAAAAAATAGATCCAGGAAACTACAGACCTATCAGCCTGACTCAATACCAGGGAAGATTCTGGAAAAGATTCATGAATCACCGAATACCTAGAAGCAAACCAAGTAATAACCAAAAGCCAACATGGGCTTGTTAAAAACAGATCATGCCTGACTAATCTTATTGCATTCTTTGACAAAGTGACAAAACTAGTGGACCAGAAGAATGCTGTTGATATAATTTACTTGGACTTCAGTAAGGCATTTGATCAAATAGACCATAACCTAGTACTTGATAAGATAGAAAAATGTGGGTTAGACAGCCTCACCACCAGATGGATTCATAACTGGCTGACCAACCACACTCAACATGTAGTCCTCAATGGAACTGCATCTACATGGAGTATGCAATGGGGTACCCCAAGGCTCTGTTTTAGGCCCAGTACTCTTCAACATTTTCATCAATGATTTGGATGAGAGGATAGATGGGGAACTCATCAAATTTGCAGATGACACGAAGCTGGCAGGAATAGCCAACACTCCAGAATATAGGCTTCAGATACAGAAGGATCTTGACAGACTTGAACTATCTAACAAAATGAAATTCAGTGGTGAAAAACGTAAAGTTCTACATTTAGGCAAGAAAAACAAAGTGCACAGGTACAGTATATGTGGTACCTTGCTCAATAGTAGTAACTGTGAAATGGATCTTGGAGTCCTAGTGGACAACCATTTAGATACGAGCCAGCAGTGTGCAGCAGCCGCCAAAAAAGCCAACACAGTTCTAGGCTGCATAAACAGAGGGATAGAATCAAGATCACCTGAAGTGTTAATACCACTTTATAATGCCTTGGTAAGGCCACACTTGGACTACAGCATCCAGTTTTGGTCGCCACGATGTAAAAAAGATGTTGAGACTCTAGAAAGAATGCAGAGAAGAGCAACAAAGATGATTAGGGGACTGGAGGTTAAAACATATAAAGAACGGTTGCTGGAATTGAGTTTAATGAAGAGAAGGACTAGGGGAGACATGATAGCAGTGTTCCAATATCTCAGGGGCTGCCACAAAGAAGAGGGAGTCAAGCTATTCTCCAAAGCATCTGAGGGCAGGACAAGAAGCAATGGGTGGAAACTAATCAAGGGGAGAAGCAACCTAGAACTAAGGAGAAATTTCCTGACAGAACAATTAATCAGTGGAACAACTTGCCTCCAGAAGTTGTGAATGCTCCAACACTGGAAGTTTTTAAGAAGAGATTGGACAACATTTGCCTGAAATGGGATAGGGTTTCCTGCCTAAGCAGGGGGTTGGATTAGAAGACCTCCAAGGTCCCTTCCAACTCTGTTATTCTATTCTATTTCATGCATGGTAGAGAAATATATCCAGTTTTTTTGCAAGCACTGAGGTCTGCAATGCTCTGTGTCACTGAGAACACCAAGGTTTCCAAGCTGAGATTAACTTTTGTATGGTTACTTGGGAACAAAGGCAACTGCAAGACATCTAATGCAAAGAGCTTTCTTCTGTTTACTATATGAGAAGATACAATAAATCAGATCCAGTTCTATGTGTAATATTTTGAATAGTGTAATTGCTTCTTTTACTATGATCATTATTACATGATATCATAGTGCTCCTCTACAATCTAAACGCAGCATATACAATATACTGGACCTCCCTCTGTTATCTGCACAGTCACAAATCCTCAGAGAGAAATTCAGGCAGGAAATATTGTGACTGGATTAAAGTCACTGAGGGATCTTTGCAGTCAAGCAGTAACTTAAATCTGGATCCTCATCTGCACCCCTACTGGCTACGTGGGCTTCTATTTTCACTTACACTGCTATTACAAAAACTGAAATGGAGTCTTTTTCAGAAAATGTGTCGCTTTTCTCAGTCTGAGAGGCTGTCCTGAAATAAATGAACTTACCTGCCTGTTGAACAACATCTAATTTTGCTCTTCTTCTTCTGGGTGAGGGATCTTCAGAAGACTTGATGTTTTGATAAACTAGGTCAGCATCCATGGTCAACTGCAACCCAAAATAGATGGACTATGTGTAAGTGAGACATTCTTAATACGCCTGCATACGACAAACGGAAGTGTTGTTGATCTGTGCTATCTAGGTATACAGTTGTGGTTATACAGTGAAAGGAGGAAAATCTCTGGGTCTATAGTTCTTCTGTAGTTGATTTCCAGGCAACAGTGCAAACGAAGCTAAGAAGCAATGTTCCAATTTACAAAGGAAGCTAAGATGAAACGTTTGCAGTTTCTTTTGCTATCTTTGTGCTGTCAATCAATCAGAATAGAGCTGGATGGGACCTTGGAGGACTTCTAAGTCCAATACCTATACCCTATACCATTTCAGACAAGGTTGGGAATCGTAAACACCCAATGCCCTCAAATTCTCCTATTTTTACTTGTGAAAGGGTTTACAATCTCTCCTATGCCTCCACCCCTTTATTTTTACTTAAAGTCTTCTTTTTATTATGTGGGAAGGAGTTCATGTCTACAGTTCAGGGGTGCTTGACCCATGGGTGAAATGCTTCTGGTTCGGACCGGATCGGGAGAACCGGTAGCGATTGTGGCAGGTGGTTCGGAGAACCAGTAGTGATGGTGGCACGAGGCTCCGCCCACCCACCCGGATGTCATTACTTCCTGATTTTAACCAGGAAGTAATGTGTTTTTTTACCATCTGCGCATGCGCAGGTTTTGTGCATGCACAGAGGGCCTGTGCGCGCATGTGGTGCGTGCACTTCTGAACCAGTAAGGAAGGTAAATAGATTTCACCCCTGGCTTGACCTCTCTATATGCCGGCCTTCCATGCAAGTGAGACCATCAACACAACTTAAATGGGAACTATCTTCTGGTTGTGAGAGCGACGTGACACTCTTATCCAAAACAGAAGTCCTTACCAGGCCTGGAGAGTCAACAGGTGGGGCTACTCCCCATCAACCCAAAAGAAACTACATTTGCTAAGGATGCTTGCACAAAACCTCTGTTAATTGGATATTCTGAGAGCTGCAGTCCTCACGTAACCGGAGATCACCAGACAAGGGGATGTGCTATGGCTGCTTAACCATATAATTTTACCTCTGACACAATCTATATTGGATTTAGGAGGCCAGCCCTGCATTGGTCACATTATGGCAGCCATCTTAAAGCAGCTGTTTTTCAGATCTTTCTGTCAGTAATGAAGGGACACTAAAGAGTTATTTGGTCCTAGTTACTGAAATACTTCAACTTTGAGGAGTGAGATATTATTTGCTGCATTGGCTCAAACCACACATTTTGGAATGACTGTTCTTATTTCCTGTGTATCAGAAAACAAGATAGCTACTAACTCTGGTCAGAATAAAAGGCAGTCTTAAAAGCTGTTTTGCAAACAGGAAATATATTATTCTCATAAGCATGACCACTGTCTCTTTTTCCTCAGCATGCAGTCTCTTATTAAATGAATGCACCACCTGGTATGGTTTTTCAGATTGCAATTTCTTCAGAGTAGGAATTCATTTTTGGGGGGGGGCGTGTTAGATTATGAGCATCTACAAACTCTATTTTGATAACAATATGGCCTGGTAAAAAGATCTATTTTACATAGAGGTGGAAAAATGTTTGAATTTTGCTCTCTGTAAGGGAAGACAGTTCCTTGAAAAGGAAAAAATGGTTTCCAATTGGTTTGCTTCTAGATTTGAAGACCCTAAATCTTTAATACTGGGTAGCCATAATAAATAGCATACTGCTGACTGTTGTTGAAAGCATAAAGCTTGTACACTCAAGGATGTTATTTGTTGCTTCAAAAGGAAAATAAAACACTGCAACGTGCACATGTGTTCACAGGGAAATCCGTGAACCTAGTTTTGCCTGACTGAGAAAATAATGTCAATTTACATTTAGCTATTATTTGTAATCGCTTGGATAACATATTCAATAGGATACTGTGTAAAATATGGAGTAGGATATTTGCATATCTTGGAATGGAATGGAATGGAATAGAATAGATTTTTTTATTGGCCAAGTGTAATTGGACACACAAGGAATTTGTCTTGGTGCATATGGTTTAATTTTAACATTAAAGTTACAGTTTATTTTGGACCATTTTCTTCATGTAAAATAAGGATATTAAAATAGTAATGTAAAAAAGTAATAATAAAGCCAAATAATGTAATGTAAATAAAAGATACCGCTTTTCCTAGAGAAGGAAGCAGATCTGAAATGCAAAGACCTTGTCAAGACTTTGCTCACAAAAGCAAAATTTAAATCTTGGGCTGCAGTAGGGGAAACTAGTCAGTTTTCTACTGGGACAAAACAGGCCCATCCACTCAGCTGCCATTCTTCATGTAACACTTTGGGTAGATGACATAGGAGGAGCACAAGGGAGATGAAATTAATACACAAATAATATAACACAGTGAGAAGCAGTGATGTCACACGGACGTCTCAGGGAAATTTAAAATTCTTCTGAAGGAACAATAGTTGGGGAACAGAATGGGTTTGTTAAGCTAAGATCTGAAGAGGGATCCTCAGGATTATAGCTAAAGTCCACATGACAAGTATCAAATTTGGATAAATTCTGGTCAAGCCAGGAGCTCCCCTATTTCGATGAAGTTGTGTTATCCAGTCTTGCTGCAACTTTCTGGTCGGCTGCAGAGAACATGTTTCTCCATGGAGCATATGGTACTACTGGCTCATTTTCCATCTACATATGCACAGAAGCCTTCTCCCCACACTGGGAACTTGCACAAAGGATATGGAATTACTATCTGCATGGGCAGAAATTAGCATTGCAAAAATAATCCTTCCAAAATTATTCCCAGCTTTAGAGCACAGGGAACATCAGCGAACAATGTGCCTCCAGGAGGCACTGGATCAACTTGATTATGAAGTCTGGAGTTTATAGGATTTTTGCCCAACAAATTTGGAAAATCTTTAGGACACATGACTAGGAAAACCTGGAATATACTTAAATAAACACAGAGAGAGAGAAAACATCCTTTTGAAGGCATCTCTTATACTAGAAAGAACTGTACAGCTTATACCCTCAGATACACAAAGGTCTTGCTTGGCAAGCATAAGTGACATGAAACATGAGAAGATTAGATTAGATTAGAAGATTATAATTCTTTATTGGCCAAGTGTGATTGGACACACAAGGAATTTGTCTTTGGTGCATATGCTCTCAGTGTACATAAAAAGAAAAGATACATTCGTTAAGAATCATAAGGTACAACACTTAATGATAGTCATAGGATACAAATAAGCAATCAAATCATACTAGGAAATAATATAAATCGTAAGGATACAGCAACAAGTTACAGTCATACAGTCATAAATGGGAGGAGATGCGTGTTAGGAACAATGAGAAGATTAATAGTAATAGTATTGCAGACTTAGTGAATAGTTTGACAGCGTTGAGGGAATTATTTGTTTAGCAGAATGCTCTATAGCGTTGTTTTGAGGGTAGGAGTTGAAACAGTTTATGTCCAGGATGTGAGAGGTCTGTCAATATTTTCACAGCCCTCTTTTTGACTCGTGTAGTATACAGGTCCTCAATGGAAGGCAGTTTGGTATAATTGTTTTTTCTGCAGTTCTAATTATCCTCTGAAGCCTGTCTCTGTTTTGTTGGGTTAGAACTATTTCTAATTTCTGTTATTAGATGAGAATTGATTATATTTAAACCACCAATGGTATCTAGAACCTGAAAGTTGACTAGCCAAAGTTTAATGAAACATAAGTATCTGGGTCAAGATCAAAACACAGGAATTGGAAGCATTCACTAAAGATATCAACTCTGTGGACAGATACATCAACTTCCCATAGGAAGATGTTAAGAAAAATAGTCTGGCCTTCTTGGACTGTGCAGTACACATTAAGGAAGACAGAAGCCTTAACACTGAAGTTTACAGAAAACCCCCATACACAGGTCAATATTTACATTTTTATTCCCACCACCCACTGGAGCACAAAATGGGAGTCATCAGAACCCTACACTGTCACTGCATTATGTATTTGTCAGCCAAGCTTCCATCCTAAGACTTACGGTAGTCTGCCAGAGAACTTTATCACGTCTCTATAGCAATAGAGATAAGACTGTCTTGTGATTTCTGAGCTACTGCGCATGTTCAGATTTAAGAAAGAAACTTCCTGATTTTTTTTTTCCTTTGTCCATCTGTGTTATAAAACAGCTGATAACAATGTAGTTAGTAAGTTTGTTTTATTTCTTTATAATAAAATGTTTCTTAGAATATATTTTGGGTTTTCTTTCTTTAAAGTATACAGCATGGAAAAACAAGATCCATCCATCTCTAATCAAGTACAATTACCCCAGGGGGAGTATCGAAGCTGATTTACGCTTTGACATACACCACTGAGCTGAAGGCCTGCCTACCAGCAAAGATGGGGAAAGAAAAAGTACTAAAACACATCAAGGAAGCCCTCAGAACGTGTGACTATCCCAAGTGGGCCTTCATCACATCTCAAAAAAGACCCTACAGGAGCTCCTCCATAACAGACAAAGTGTCAAGCTCAAAGCACACTTATACTGTTGCAACCATTTATCGCTTCTCAACTTGCCAAGGAACTAGTGAGGAGAGAAGGGTGAGATGGAATGCAGGCTCCAGACTTCAAGAAGAGCTGTGAGATGCAAGGACACATTGGCCAAAACCAGAGACTTTTTCTCATAACAAAATAATGACAATCAATTGGACAATATGACCTGCACTAATAGGGTGAGGGGGAAATCCATATTTTAATGATATAGGTTTGCGCAGGAAATAGGTAGAGTGGGTTTTGCCTTCATCAGTGCTGAAATGATGTATTCAGTAAAGTTTCGCATTCAGACATCTGAAGGTCTCGAATGTGTTTGCTTTGGTTGGGTTCATCAGTCGAACCATTGACACAATGAAGAGAACAATAATTGAAGCGACATTGTCATTCCATACATTGCAGGAATATCGGAAAAGCTCAGGAGGATCTTCAGCCAATACAACATACATGCACACTTCAAACTCAAGAATACACTAAGGCAGAAGCTTGTCCACCCCAAGGATAAAAC